GTAATTCTGAGTGTTTTATGTGCTGCAGAACAGGAACCTGCTGTAAAACAGCAATTATGCTGAGTCAGGCTTGATTTTTAATAATCTTTTCCTGTTAAATAAATAAATCAAATCAAATCAATCATCATCATGTCTGATGTGGATCAATACATCACCCACAGACTTGGGAATTGAATTGAATCAAAACTGACCCCCGACAGAATTTGTGATATTGAGAAACATTGTATAGTCATCYAAAACAAATCAATATAATTATAATGTGATAAAGCTGCTGATTTACACCCCTAGTAAAAATAAAAACTCAAAGCTAAACTTTCTCAGATTCTAATGTACCGTTTGCATACCTTTTTCTCTCTTGGTCCGGTTGTCAGTAAGACAGGCTTTAGCTGTTCCCAGTGCCACCAGCCATTTCTGCCTTTCAGCTGCATTGATGGCTTTCAGATAAAAGTACTGCTCTCCTGGTATAGTCAGGTCAACTCGTGTCGAGTCAGTGGAATGAACTAAAACACATCAACAACCAAAGAGTCAGGCTTCTCAACAACGCCACGTCTCATAAAACAAGACACGAGAGAGCAAATACAGCCTTCTCACCTTGGATTTCACAAACTGAAATTTTAATGCTGCCTTTACAACCTTTCCACGCATCTTCTTGAGAGTCGTAGTAAGACAAAGTACCTCCATCAAGAACAAACCAGCGTGGCTGCCAACCTGTAAAAAAATAACAGAAAAATGCTGCTAAAACGTATTTGTTTAATGGTATTGCTTCACTTCTTTTTTTACTACGTCTTACTTGACCTTAAAAACTTATAAACAGCTAGCTTTGTTACGTTGCTGGCGCCACTAATCAGTTGTTATTAAATCAGATTATATGGGACAAGACGGAGTACGCTAAAATAACAAGYSCTACCGTTAAAACTTGATAAAACAKCAAKATTTYAGTAAACAAGTCATTAAGCAGGGTTAAAAACTAAGCCAATTAGTTTTAAAGTGATGAATAAAGTCGGATAAGATGTTAACATGTTAGTTAGCTAAGGTTAGCTAACTCCATTCAAGACGCGCTGCCGCAAAACAAAAATTTGTCACTAAAAACACACCGCAATTGAAGGATAAACTTACCACTTATGTAATTCGTCCACTTATACAGCACGCCTTCCATGGTTTAAATACGCGTTTTTACCTTTCATTACTTGTTTATCATAACGAGACGTGTGGCACAGCTGATTGCAGCGACTCCATCGGCCAGAGTGCTTTTTTGCGGAGCAACGTACTCGAGTTTGTATTTGGACTACGTAGAGAAAAGCACGTATAGATTTTTGTGAATAGACCTCCAACCAATCAAATGAGACGTCGTTCCTGCTGCATACGTCAAAGGGATTTAAGTTTTTTTTTTTGTGCGTAGGTTTAGATGATTGACTCATAAAACAGCCAATAAGAAAAGACGTAGGCAAGAAAAGGTCAAACCTTTTAMAGAACGTAACCAATCATAGCGGGAGCTGAGCAGACAGCGAAATAGCTGTGGAAGAAGTTGGAGTCTGCCACGTAAGGAATTCTCACCAGTAAAAGTGCCTAGGCTTTGAAATTGATGGAAGTGTTGATATAAATTTCCTGTTTTACCCATTAAGAAAGTTTATTAGAGTTTATAAAATCATGCTGTTTTCTATTTTATTGATATTACCTTCATTACTTGTTTTTGTATTTGGGGGGAAACTTCCCGAAGCCGACGTGAAAATTGAGGTGATGCACAAACCTTTCCTGTGTTCACGTAAGACGAAATATGGAGACATGGTTCTTGTTCATTACGAAGGATTTCTGGAGAGTAACGGCACAATGTTTCATTCCAGGTAATAAACAATAATAATACATCAATTGTTGTTTTTCTGAGTTACACAGATTTTAGAGACAGTTACTGTAGTATTTTCATTTCATATATAAATGCTATATTGTTTAATATATAGGTAATTATTAGGGGTGCAACGATACAGAAAATTCACGATTTGGTTCGGTTCGATACTTTAGTCTCACGGTTCGATATTTTTTCGATACAAAAAAGAGAAATGTCCATGCCCCTTTTTCCTTGTAATTTTTTAAAATTAATTATGAACATTTGTTTAACCTCAAAAGTACAGTTTTTAAATTAAATGTTGCTGAAACAAAAAGTTTCTCAGTGGATCTGCACTAAAAAATGCAGCCTAGGTGGAGTAGTCGAACACAGATCCACTGATCCTTCAACACAGAGCATCTTCAGAAGACAAGCTGATGAAGTAAATTTTAAAAATCTGCATTGTTCGATACAAGTGCGTGTTGAACCTAAAGCACTGTTCGATACGGGCCCATGTATTGTTGCACCCCTAGTAATTAGGTGTCACAAACTGCTTATGAGTTTTGATTACATTTTATCACGTGTCAGACACCTATTCCATTATTTTCTGAAATTGTGTTTCTGTTTTCTTGACTTTAAAACTGTGACTGATGTTTTGACATTCGGCAGCCGGAAGCAGGGGGATAAAAACCCTGTTTGGTTCACTCTTGGGCTCAAAGAGGTGCTTAAAGGTTGGGACAAGGGTCTGCAGAACATGTGTGCAGGAGAGCGCAGGAAGCTGACCATCCCTCCATCACTCGGTTATGGCAAGGAAGGGCAAGGTAACTAAGATAATCTAAATAATACACTGATTTATTCATTTCTAGCTTTAACATCTTTATTCGATCACAGGTAACATTCCTCCAAGCAGCACTTTGATTTTTGACATTGAGCTCCTGGAGATCCGAAACGGTCCCAGGTCACACGAGTCCTTCAGGGATATGGACCTCAATGATGACTGGAAACTCTCCAGACAAGAGGTGTGTTTGTTTTGAATTAAAAGAATATACTTTAAATGAATACCATTATTTTCTGTTTTTTTTAATAAATACAAATATTTGTTGCTAAATTGTAGGTAAAAGAGTTCTTAAAGAAGGAGTTCGAAAAACATGGCTACTCCCCTAATGACACCGAACACGAAGTGATGATTGATGACATCTTTAAAAATGAAGATGAAGATAAAGATGGATTTATATCTGCCAGGGAGTTCACCTCCCTGCATGATGAGCTCTAAAGGACTTATAGAAACTTAGCACAAAAAGTAAGGACATTTGTGTTTGGTAGATTATTTCTTTGTTGTAACAAAGCTTCTTGGCAATAACTCTTATATCGTTGGAAAGCCTGTTAATTTCCCTTTTAAATGGCGCCACATTTGTAAGGAACACGCATTTGTGGGATGAGCAGTAGAGCTGATGTGTGGGTTGCTCACATGTAGGGTTGGGCAATATTGGCAAATAAATTAATCACGATTAATTGTGGTATTTAGCCGATAACGATTAATTTGACGATTAATCCCCTAGAGTCCCTGGACACCCTAATGTCCTGGTTACATGACCATTTTATARGGAGAAAACTGGCTCTTCTTAAAAATCTGTTCCAATTTGTGTCAAAATTACAGACTTCAGGCTATACATCAACCTCTAAATTGTGTTGATAGATAAATAAATTACAGAACGTTTATTTTAATGTTCTTCATATTTGAAGCGGAGAATCTGCCTGGTGGCATTAATCGTATCAATCGTCAAGTGCCAAAAAGTAATCGATTAATGTTTTTCTGACGATTAATTGCACACGATACGATTATGCCCAACCCTACTCACATGAAATGTTTTCCAAATCTTGTCTGCCAAACAGTTTATTTTGCTGTTGTGTTTGACATTTGTTGTGAGCTTCTGGTACCTATTGTGAAGAAGCATTGTTACAACAAAGAAATCATTTATCAACACAAATTTCCTTACTTTTTGTGCCAAGTATATTTACATTTTAAACTGYAATAAGAAACCAAAGAACTGCTGTACTGAACAAGACTCCCTCAGCAGCTTATTATTTTTTAATACTACTTGTGATCAGTGTTTTCTTATTTTTTATACTTTTGTAAACTTTGAACAGAGCATTTTCTTTTCTGTTTTATATTTACATATTGTATTAATATAATAATTTCACACAACTGAATACACAGGATAAATTTTTAAGTTTATGATCTAAATATTTTGGAAGTAAAGAACTTTGTTTTTATATTTATTTGTGCTGCTTTTAACATTGAACTTGTATGCAATCATTCATAATAAAGTTGTCTTTGTGTCTGTGTGAAAYAGCCACTAGAGGGCGCTCTTGTCCCTTAAAATTCTGCCAAGCTTTCATCTCATAAATCCTTTCAAACAGTAAAAATGCATTACTGATGGTCCCCTCAGAATGTGACTGACCTATTTTTTTTTCTTTTTACAAATTAAGAGTATAGTCACGTATTGCATAACTTWTCAAAACTATATTACAAGGACATTGCTGTATGGTGGTCTGTGKTCATCTTTACATCTTTGTTTATATTTTGCACGTTTCTCCTGAGCAACATTTTGAATCAGTATAACTAATCTTGTTCTGTCCACCATATGGATTTATAACAAAAACATAAAAAGTTTTTTAAATATATGAAACTTTAAACTTTTTAAAATAAACCTTTTGTTTTGAACACATCAACAATGAAAATCAACTTCTACTTTGTTATATTTCAGATTTTGCAAACATGAAAAGCTGTCAAAATTCTCCCAAATCCCAAAATTAGAAGAGTAACATTATATAAGTAACATTTAAAGTAGATATGACTTATGGCCACAGGCTCAGTCGATGTACTGAAATATTTAACAAGAAGCTTAAAGATCAGAGAAGTCCCTGAAACATTGTCAGCATATTTGTTTCCAGACTTCTCTTTTTCTTTTAACCACATAATTCCAAGTAATGCAAAATTTTTGCTGACCAGTAGTCAAGCGTTGCATAATAAAAGAAAATCTAAGTTTTTGAAACAAAATAAAGTCCAGGAATGGTCTGATAATGTAACTGAATCAAAATGGGGTGAAATCAAAACATGACATGACAAAACTAACACCACAGTTCAGCCACACAAAGGTATATTCTTAGGCAAGTTTTGCAACTAGTTATATCCTTTTTAAAAAAGCATTCTAATGTTAGCTGGTGCATAAGAGCAACACTCAGAGACTCCAAACAGATTTTAAACAAAGCAGAGCTTTTACAGGACAGGATGTGACTGGTCTGCTGTTCTCCAAAAGAGCACCAGTTTTTTTTTCTCCCAACTTTATCTGCCAACATTCATCCTGCTGCACACAGAACCTGTTCAGTAGATGAATAATATAAAATGTGTTCAATATTAGATATTTCTCTGTAATTTATTACCTACGAAGATAACATTCCAGYTATTTGACGTATTGCTGAATTTGAGCAATTATCATTAAAAACTACAACCAATCACTTGGTATTAAACTCAAGATTTTTTTTTATCCTTTAATAAAACATCATTTCATAAATTACATTTCAATTGCAGCTTTCGAAAAAATACATTTGGATCAAACAGATCTGTAGAAAGTATTTGATAATCACAATAATAAGAAATCAAGTAGGAGAGGAGCATGCTTGGCACAGGCAGCTCTTTTTTTTGGTGGCGTTTGAAGAAGTAAATGACAACCCTGGCTGCATCAAACAATGCTACTGGCAATATTWAAAAAAAATGTCTTAGACACTTTTATTTCACATAAATATATCCCAGACTGCAGCATGTTGCAAGGAAACATCGCAGCACAAACGTGTGCAGGGAAGTTTGTTGCAGTTTTCAGTTAGACRGGATGAGTTGAGCGCAGAAAATGATGGATCCAAAGAACAACTGCTCACTGAACATTCTTAAGGACATACAAGGGAAAAATACAAAACATTTTTACAAAAACATTTAATGCAAAAAAGTGCTTAATTTGTCTCATTTCTCTCTCTTTTTTACACAGTAAGAATTGTTCATGACACCATCTTGTTTTATCTACAATAAAAGGATGCTGATTGTATTGTTCAGCTTTTAATCCCACAACAACGTGGAGTTTTTTATTTTTATTTTTTTATTTTGCCATCCTGACTGGATCTACACCAGGTAGTAACTGAGACAGGAGCTAAAACTTCACCGTTCTTTCCTATTTTAAAAAAAAAGGGTGATGATGGCTGAGATCACAAAAAAATAGTACAGTAACGAGACAAAGTCAAACCAACTTCAACTAAACGTGTCATGCTAAGAAGAAGCGTTCCCAGTTCAGCTTCATCACAAACGGTTTCTGGAGTCTTCACTTGAATTTCCTCTTTCGCCAAATAAATAATTGTCCGTCTCTCCTCCTCACGAGGATTGTCTCTAGAATAAGACGTCTTCGTGCTCGATCATGAGCTGCACCACCAGTTTCTGTTGCCTCATGTCGTTGAGGGTGGTCAAGGCGTTCTGCTCCGGGGGCTGCATCAGAGTCGGACCAAACACAATCCCTAAGTTCTCCGCGTTCATTAAATTGTCCTTTTCAAACATCGTTACCCTGAAAGATATTGAGAAAAATGTGTAAGGAGAGARCAAGCGGAAGAAGTGCTGACCCATTCTGAATATTTTCATTATTCTTCTCAGAAACRTGACATTTTATAAGGTTGGCATCGTTTTATACTCAAATTTTCTGAAATGTAGGATGTGCTAATCAATCTTTTTAAACTTGTGAAATTTGGTTGCAGTCAGCCTAAAAATATRCTTAACACAAAAATTAAGGACATTTGTGTTTGGTAATTTTTTTAKTTGTAAAAATGCTTCTTGGCAACAGCAAAATTAACTGTTTGGCAGAGCAGATTTGGCAAATTTGTTCATCCTACTGCTCATCCTACAAATGCATGTTCCTTACAAATGTGGCCCCATTTAAAAGGGAAACTAACATATTTTCCAAAATAATAAGACTTATTGCCAAGCAGCATTGTTTTAACAAAGAAATAATCTAAAATTAATTTCCTCACCTTTTGTGCTATACGTCAAAGCAATTGTTCAGATCTGAAGTGGTGTTTTGTGGAGAAGTTGTGAACAAATAATATATTACCTGTTGCAGATAGCTTTTTAAAAGTTTCCAGTTTAGAAAAAGCAGAGTTTAAGTCTGACCAGAACGACAAGCTAACAACCTAAGATCAAAGTTTCCCTTTAAACAACTTACTGTATGTGTCACAATTTTCTTAGAAATTAATAAAACTTTACACTGTTGTGCTTTACGCTGCTACTTCAATATAAATGCAATATTATTGGCTGTACAAGAAGTGCAACAATTACAGCTATTTTTTGCACTTGCATAAACCAAAATGTAAAATGTAACGCAAAACTGCATGAGACTTAAATGTTTTTTTTAATAATATTTGCACAAACACCTGCGAAATCTTTGTGATTTTAAGATGACAGCAAAGTCTAGTTTTTGCCTCACTCCTACTAATTGCTATCTCAACAACTCTTTCAAACTTAAAGCCTGTTTTTTATTTTACTGAGCCACACCAACCCTGCCATCTACAAAAGGTAAGATACTTACTGTTTATTACCTTTCCATAGAACCTCACTTTAAAGATCTGATTTACTGCCTTAAAAGTGAGTTTAATTTTAACAATAAATTCAATATTTTTGCAATAAATGCTATCACAACATGAGTCACATAATGCATATTTCAGCCGATTCATTCTTACAGTTTTTCAAGCACAAAGACAAACGAATGTAATGAACAGTTAATCGAACCTCTTGAGGTGAGCCATCAGGTACCGCAGGGTTTCATAGTGCGCCGGGGGAAGCTGCAGCAGCCCTTCGTGAACGGCCTCCAGTCTGGATTCAGCATTAGGAATTTCTGCACATCAGTAAAACGATATGCATCAAAGCAGTGCAAAGTAGGGCGAACGCAGTAATGGCACGGAAATGCCCAGGGAGGATCTCTTACTTGCAGCTTGAATAAATTTGGAGTACAAGTCAAACGTAATGACTGGAATAGGAAGGTCTCTCAAGTAGAGCTTCAAAGCACCAGCAATTATGTTGATGTCTGCATAGGCACTGGCACTGATATCCGCCTTCTCACCATCTGTTGTTATCAAGCAAATAATGCATGAGTGAGATCAAAAGTTCCGTTTGGTACAAAGGGAACAGGAATGCTCTAGTATAAACCACAAAGATCTTTTTATTTTATTTTATTTTATTTTATTTTTGTGCAGGTAAAACAATATTTTTTGCCAAAGCTGAGAGGTGATGACTGCCTGTTTGTGTATTTTTCTGTTAACAGAAAAAGTTAAAATTTTTAATTAAACTAATCATTAGATGCCCAATTAACTTTAGTAGTTAGCCTAAATTAAGACGATTGCCATGGACAACTGACCTTAAAAAAATCACAAAAATAACTATAACTCAGTCAGTTTGACAGACATTGAGCTCAAATTTGTCATGGTTGCGGAGCTGTTAAACTCAAGACTTGACCAAATATTTATAACTCCATCGTTGCTCGTTATAAGATGATCTTAGTCTAAACCAGAGATTCTTAAMCCATGGGCYGCAAGCACAGCCTCTCGGGCCTCAAAAGARCAAMAGTTTTTAACTTTGGACCGCAGAGGGCCACGGGACCAMAWTGATTTTGAATAAGGTGCAATACACTTTCTCACCACTAGTAGCAGTAGTGCGCCACTCAGATGTTTAACAACTTTTTTAATACTAAGAAGAAAACCCTTAGATACCAGCTGAAAATGTAAATCTATCTTTAATGAAAAGTAGAAGCAAAAATGAARGCAACTCGTCAAAAAAAGCCAAAGTTTGTCACTAATATGAAGAGCAGCTTCTGGTTCTACCATGCAATATTTTAAAAGTTCAAACCATTATCAAATACAGCTGCAGATACAGCTATATTTTAATTTACATTTTACCAAATTAATTTTTGTAGTTTATTTTAAAATATTTTGAACATATTTTAAAGAAACTTTAAACTTGTCAAAAAGCTGTTGTTACTGTTATTGTTTGTCACTAATATGAAGAGCAGCTTCTGGTTCTACC